TTTTGGGGGGGGTGGGGGGGGAAGGGGGGTGTTGGTCACCAAAGAAGAGGCAAGCCGTCCTCGGTTAAAAAATGTGGAGATCACGAACAAACGATTAACGAACGACGCACGACGAAATGGCAGCTGACAAAGCCAAACGAGCGATCGCGGCGCAGACCAATCAGACGACGTGTGTGTGGTCTTTCACATTCCAGTCCGGCTGCCACTGAAGGGAGTAAGTAGATCCTAGAGAGAGAGAGAGAGAGAGAGAAAGAAAAGATGTTGCGCCAGAAAGAGAGAGGAGAACGACCGGTACCGGTATATGGCTCGCGAAAAGGAGCAGAACGACGAAAACGGTTTTCCACTACCGTATGCTATGTTTGAAATGAGCGCCGCTCCTTAATCCTCACGCCTTCGGAGATCTGAAAATGTAAGAATCTAAATCTCTGTTTATCTATAGATCGAAAGAGAAATAGAAAAATTCTTTCCGCCCGCGGGACGAGTTCTATATGGACGGGGCTTGGGTAGGTAGGTAGGTAGGTAGGTAGGTATTTCCGTGCCCGCTGAGCGGATGAAGAGCACCTCGGTTCAGATGACCCGCTCTTTGGTGCGGGTGGCTTGATGTTTTTGCCCGACGAGGATGGCCTGGGGCCTGGGTAGGTAGGGTTTTGAGAGTTGAGATAGCGGACAGCACCGGAGCGGTGTAGCCATTTGTGATTCTGGTGAGAGGGTTCGGTTGCGGTTTCAGTTGCATGCTCTGATGCGGCGGCGAGATTTTCATGCTGGTTGTATCGCGCTTTTTCTTATCCTCTATCGAATTTGATGTGTTTTAAGCTCGGTATTTAATGATTGATGCAGCGAGATGCGATTCGAATTACAGTCATTGATTGAAAGAGTTAGCTTCAATCTATCTTCATCCTTTGTTTTCAGGAGTATTCGTTAAGTGTCGAATCTATGATGCGTGGTTGCTCAGGAGTGAAATAGCATAAATCACTTCTTGATCATCCAGACTATCGAACATGAGATGTGAAGCTGAATCCATTCCGCAGATCTGTGAAGGTCTATTGAGCGATTGTAGTGAAGTTTGCAACTATCAGCCCTATCAAATCATCGTTGTATCCCGAAGGAAGCCCATGCACCCGCGAATGTCACCCGTGGCAAACTACCCCACAGGGTTGGAATGTTTAAATGCAGAAGCTCACGGAGACCTGAAGGCTGTAGTGCTGGTCATAGTCGGTCAACTTTCCTGCTGTCCATCCATTGGAATTGCAGCCTCTGATGATAGCCTCGGCGGAGTCCGCAAAAAACGTGCAGTCTGCCTCGAGGCCATAATCGCTCTGCCAAAATTATGGGTGAGAAAATGGTACTCTGAAAGGACAGAATATTCAGGGAAGGATATTGACTAACATCGTTGCAGTAGACGATATTGGTGCCTGATGAGCAAATGACCTTCACACACGTATGAGGATCGGCGTAGCAGAGACCGTTGGCGCCTCTGATCACAGCTATAGCCTTACGGATATTGTTGTTCCAAGCGCGCGCCTTATTGTCGCAGAAAAGGCCCTGAGAGTAATATCGATTAGCGGACTGCTGTGAAGAAAGAGCCCCAAGGAATATCTGAGGTGCAAGGGAACCCACACTAATGTCCGGTGCCAGTTTGACGCTCTCGGCTCTGCCAGTTTTGACGGATCTCTTATTGAGATGAGGGTGATCCTTTTGAACTTGTGCAATGATTTCCTGGACGTGTTAACGGGCAACTTCTGTAGCGGGTGGCGATGCGCCTACCTCAAAACTGCCACTGGCGACGATGGTACCGGGGAGTCCTGTGTAGGTGCCATTGAAGGTCATGGTGCCCATCTTGTAGCCTTCCATCTCCAAGTTTTGACCCATACCATCAAGAGACGAAGAGAGCTCTGCTGGAATGGCGAGTGCCGCGACATGAGTCTGTCGTCACCTCATTGTAAGTCCTGCCCAAGTACGGTAGAAGGAGGAGAGAAGGTTACCAGAGGTGAGAAGACCATGAGGAGCATGAGGTTCAGTAACGTAAGGATTGTGACCTGCATGGTTGCTGCTTGCGTATTTTGGCTGTCTTGGAAAGATCTTGTAGACTTGTTGGTGGTCTAGTCAAGAAGCAAAATCGGAGGGAAGAAATACTCGAAATTTGGGCGGCTTACCTAATATGGTACTAAACTCGAAGTATACACCAGCCATGCCTCTCCAAGTGGCACTGCTACCTAATCGGTCCTCTTTGGAGTATCTTACGGTGGTGGTCTGATTTTCGACTGCAATTAATTGCAAGCACCTACTCTCCTGACCCCATGCCCAGCTTGAAACATTCACTATCTGCAGCCGCAACGAGATCACCAGTGCCCGGTAAGGAAGGGCCGTAATGGTATGGCTTTTTGGCTTCTGCTTCTACTTTGCAAGGTCCTTCCCCCCTTGCTGACACTAAGACATTCACTCTCCGAATACTTTAGTATATTTGGCTGCATTGCATAAAATGAAGATGAAGACGAAACCTAGAGTAGTGGAGGTGGAGAAAACAAAGAGCTTGTTATGTACCTAAGTGTAAGAGACTATTTTTCCTCGAGCGGCTTCCTCTTCCGCTCACTTTTTGCCATCTTCTCTCCCTCCCAAACCCGATACCCAGGCCGGCCTCTCCAAATAAGCTCTGATTGTCAACATTCAAGACGGAGACCGCTCACACCCTTTCGAGTAGATCTACGCTCAGCTTTGGTGTCAAGCTCAACCTCACCACTACTCACATTAACAACCGCTACTCGTAATGGTCTTAATCTGAGCCCGTTAGAAAGCCCGTAAATTCTCCGGGAGATGCACGTCAAAATTGCTAGCATATCGGTAGATACGCCCAAGACATTTTCAACACATACGAGAGACACCAAGTCCATCGCGCCGCTACCTGGGCTTGCTGGCGGAGAGGTGGACCTTTCCGGTCCAGGTTCTGAAAGAGATATACTAGATTCAGACCCTAGAGCCCGGTAGTTTTTTTTTTTTTTTTTTTCCTTTCTTTGACGACACTGACTAAATGACTATCCCGAACGGTACCGCTCAGTCCCTAATGTTGCTGTAGTTGGACAGAACTGTTTAAGGCGTGGCTACACAGCGCGCGGTTGAGGTTACATTGCCGCTCTCCTGGGTCGCCGGTCCTTCGCCTCCCGGGTCCCCATGAGACGGCAAGTACATAACTATGGTAAGCTCTGCCTTTTTGGGTTCTTATCCCGGTGGACCTTTGCATGAGACTCATAGTCTTCTCTCTTGCGTGGATCAACTCGAATCTTGCAGCGAGTTCTATCAATCGGTCGACGAGTGGCTGGCTACATACATACCTTTGCTTTTCGTTCGCACCAAGGACTTCTCCATCCAATTGCCACTCCTAGAAAGGCACTTCATCTCGTCAATCGTGCTACAACCTATGCCGCTTCAATATCGAAGCTTCCCATGGACCATCAATTGAAATAACTCAACTGCCCCCCAGGCACCAGCCCAGCGGCGCTGGGCTTCGTTCCGTTCCACCCGGTCTCACCCAGCATACGGCATAAGGCCATCGGCCATCGGCATTAGTGCCATCGTACAAACCGAATGTCTTTATATCGATCAAATCGTGAAATCCTTAGTCATCTCGTTGCGGGATTTGCAAGTTCCTTCAAGCTTCTTGCTCTTAGGTATACAGGTACATATACGTCGAATGCTTTGGACTCGTGCGCCTCATTGTCTCAATTACCGATGAGCAGACGGTTCCTCGCCCGCTTCTTTCTGCAGGAGGGATCAAGTCGCTTCTACACTTTGCAGGTAGTACTAGATACTCGGGAGTTGTTTCGGATTTAGAAAAAGTGTGTTGGGTTGACAATGTCGGCGGTGGCTCGCTGATCAAGTACACTTGCTGGTTCGGGATGAACTGCGCTAAAGAATATCGGTAGAGATAATCACCTATGCTATAATTTGCTTCGAGAAAGAAATATAGATCTCGGACTTAGACTCGTCAGGGTTTCAAAGTCAATTAACATAATTGAGAAGTCCTTGCTCCGAGCCGCGCCTACCCCATATTGGTTTAAGCTTTCGGCTATACCAAAGCTAAAATTGCTAGATTTTAACGTCAGTCTTTCTTATTCCTCAAGATACGTCAAACACGCTTCATGCCGCCAAATAGAAGCTTCATTTGAACACTGAATTCGAGTTTCTGTGTGTCATTATTATGATCCTGTTGTCATCATACCGATGGTTTGTGAACTAAAATCCTTACGCGTACACGGCGAGCCCAGACCCCCTTTCCCAAGCGACCATTACAGACAGCCTTCGGCCTTTGTGATTCGGGCTCCAGTTATCTTTTCATTCCATAAATTGATGCATCTACTGTCAGGAAGCTTTAGACTGCCTCGAGCCACGTTTTCTAGTAGTAGATCCAGTGACCACCTTCGCTTTCGGCTTGATAGCCTGAAAATCTAACGGCGAGTTAGCAGAGCTCGTGCTGACTGGTTGACAGGACAAAATACCAGATTGAATGCTTTCGAGTGTCTCGCTCTTGGTCAACACTGGCCCGTCCAAGCCACCTCCAACCATGATCATGCTTCCACCCATGGCCAGCTTCTCAAATGCTCCAATGCGTATCTTCAGGCTATCGACCTCGCTGCCAAGTCGCTGGGTGGTGCTCTCCAGATGCTGAATGTATTCGAGAGCTCTGGTGAGGATGGCTGCTTTTCCGTACTTCGGATGTGCGGCAGACTTGCTGTCAGCTCCTTCGCCGCCGGACTCTTCTTCGCCTGCAAGGTTGTCAGGCCCCGTCAGAGATGGTATGCCCTCGCGAAGGCATTCGATCTTGGCATTCAAGTTTGTTCGATATCTCTTCTCGATGGCATTGTGTCCTTTCTTTTTTGACTGGCTCAGGGTGCTCGGTAGCTCGCCCAGGTCGATGGACTTCCGCTTGTTGTTCTTGCGAGTAGGGACTTCGGGCTCTGGGGAGGGAGAAGCCGATTCCGATGCGTGGGACTCCATGGGCGATACGGGCGCGAACGCAATGTTGATGTTGGAAAGAGCGTGGTATGGCATTGCAATGTCTTGCAGACTTCGTTCTTCGGCAGCGGTGAGGGACGAGAATCCGTGGTATGATCTCCGAAGTTCTTGTTGTGTGTACGCAGCAGCGGGTGGGCACCAGGGAGTTTCGTTGTTGCTTGTCGAGCTGGCCGATGTCAATGGCGTCTCGTCGAGCTCTAATTGTGCATCTTCGAAGGGGAAGTCGTTGGCATTGGAATAGGAGGCTAAGATGGGGTCGATTGCTGAAGTCTCCAAGCTCGTAATCCATGGCTCCTCCAGTGACGAGATTGTACTCGCTGTGCTATGTCTCCTCTCAATCGACGCAGGACGCAGCTCGGTTGTTGTTCCTTCCCAACGCATCCAATCGTCCCACTCCTCTGGGTCAAGTTCTTCGTTGCAGTCTTTGACCAAAATTCCGGTGTTGTGATTGATCAAGCCCGTGGCAACGATGTCGCTGTCGGAGCCTTGGAAGGTGGAATCTCTGGAAGGCATCACGAGAGATAAAGGGTGTGCAAGAAGTTGATGATGGTGCGATGAAATGCGATGAAATCGGGATTACAAAGACCGGATGTGAAGTGAAGAGGTGAAGAGGTGAAGAGGTTGGTAGGTTGGTAGGTGAAGAGGTGAAGAGGTGACAGCGCGGGGTATGTAACCTCCTTTGAGCAAATGGCTGGTGGGTGACGAGTAGCGGGGCTGATCTGCGGGTGAGGCGAGATGGGCAAGATGGGCAAGATGGGCAGAACTTGGGACGTTTATCTGTGGTGGCCGAAAACCAAAAAAGCAGACGGGGCAGCGGGGAGTAAGTACTTTTATTGGGTATTGTATCTGTAGCTTGAAGGCCCGGCCTTGGGCAAAGTATCGATGGATGTTTTTTCTCGACTGTTGTCGTTGCGGTTGTGGTTGTGGTTGCTGATGCTGATGCTGATGCTCTTTGTGCTGGGCGTTTTGGATCCTTGGACCCTTGGACCCTTGGACCCTTGGACCCTTGGACCCTTGGACGACCTTTGGATGGACCCTTTGGACCCTTTGGACCCTTTGGACCCCTAAACGCCCATGGGGAAAGTGAGTGCAGGTGCAGAAGCGAGTCTCCAGACACAACATGAACGAACAGCTCATTGGAAATGGTCTCACAATACAACACGGCACCTTCGCCAACCCCGATGCTTATTGAGAATGCCTTTCTCTCTCTCGGAGGACTGGAGAATTCCCAGTTGGTGGCTGCAGGCCAAAAGAAACACCATCCCATTGAAGTGGCGTGGCAGTGAATCGTCGGGCCTGGCCGGCTGGCCGTCAATGCAGATGCAGATGCAGATGCTGATGCTGATGCTGATGCTGATGCTACGATGCATTCATCCATTCTCCTCTCGTTGAGTTCGGTCGACTGATAGCCGGAGACTTGGTTCTTGAACATGAACAACTGCGCGGTCGGTCTCTTATGAATATCCCCATACCGACAACACCCGAGTCCGAGACAGATACCCAAGAAACCCACCGGGGTGATTCCAATCAATATCTCTCCCATGTTCCTTCCGCTATATCCATCTCACTCACCTCAGCCGCGCCCAGTCTAAATGGTGCTTGTACGGGCTCAACTGCAACAACCTACCTACCATATCTCCAAGCACCGACCCAAACCCGCGTGCATCGCTTCCCTCTCGGCGCTCATGTCAAGAAGGAGAGATTCGTTTGCTTGATCTCTACCAAGACCTTGGATGGCGGACACACACCTGCTCTGACTCACTCTCTCGCTCGGGCCTGGGCTCCCCTTTCGCCATGCCACTTGCTGTGTAAT